TAGGCGGCGGCCAGCAAGCTTTATTGCTGCCTCACACTGCGGCCAACATACGTCCTCTGTTGAGCGATGGAATAGCCATGAGATGCTCCGGCAGCCCCGTCTGAGCCCCTCGCTGGTGCCAGGTCCAGCCCCAGCTCCGGCTCCGCTCGCCGTGCGGGCGATGCCCGAGAGGCTCTGGGAGATCGCGGGCACGGCAGGCCTCCCGAAGGGATCGGGCCAATGCACGCGTCACATCCCAAAGCTGGCGATCCCCATGCAGCCAGGCACCGAAGGTCCGACTGCGCGCGGGGCTACACCAGCCTTACCTTAATCACACTTCCTGTTTGGCGGGGGTTCCTTCGTCCCGGCCAGCGAATGCTCTTGCAAGGACACATCATCTGCAGCCCAAACATCCAACTACATGAACGCGCTGGCGCTTGCCCGGCACAGTTCAAGGGTTGCCACATCCAAAAGAAAATGTCGAACACCTCCTCCTCAATGGCCACGAAAGGGCTCTGCATTTCTTGTTCTAGATGTGTGCATGAGCTGCACGTCCCCTCGAAAGGAGTTTGTCCGCGCCCCGGGCACTGGAGCCTTTGCGAGACAAACAGCCAAGCCACCAGTTTTTTGAGCACCTGCCCACTGCTTCACCCGTAGCAACATACTGCAGCCAAGCGGAACAATAGGCAAAACGAAAGCTCCCGAGCAGACGCGTACTTTCAGCTTGCACTATCTGCCTTGCCTGGTCCTTTTCATTGCTTGCTCAGTCTTCGGCACATTGCTAGCCGCTGTGGTCGGAGTCACAGCTGTCCTGGTGGCCCTCACCTGGTCCGGCCACTCGCGTGAGCCTCTACCTTCGGCCTGTCACAGCTGTCCTGGTCCGGCCACAGGCGGGAGCTGCAGGGTTCGGCCTGCCTCAGACAGCTGGCTGTCACAGGCTCTGTCGCAGCTGTCGACATGCAGTAGGCTCTGTCACAGCGGTCATGCGGGTGGGTCGGATGTCACTGAAATCCACAAATCCCAAACCTGTCGGGTAGCGAAAAATTACCCCCCCAAAGGTCACTCCCCTGGTAGCCAAAATAATGACCCTAGGCAAACAAAGCCGTTTTTGTTTCGCTGGCGCTTGGCAGGAAAGGGGGGGAGCGAATTTGGCGAGGGGGGTTGAAGGCAGCATCTGTTTGTTGTTGTTTGGTTTCACACGCAACTCAGGCCAAGTTGAATGGACTGAGAGTGTCTGGGTCGCAGGCCAGTTTAGCCACATGCCGTCAGTCCAGTTTATTCAGCTCGCAGCTACTTCAGTGTAGCTCAATCCTTGGCCCTTGTCTAGCCGTGCTTGAGCGGAACCGTCTCCAGCTTGCTTTACTGCGCAGCCCAACTAAATCCAACCGCTGTGGGTTCACAACCTGGAAACCAGAGCACGTCGCTAGGAACTTCAGTTGAGGATTTTGTCCATCAGAATTCACTGGTTTGTTGTGTGTTCTCCAACCCTTGTCCTGGCCACGCAGCCCCTTGGCTCATCCGAACGTCACTCATGCCGGGCTCTGCGCAATCCAGCCCTAGAAGCCGCGACCGAGTTGCACGGCCACATTCGGATAGGTTTCCAAACTAGGTCAGCCGGATTTTGAAAGCGATACCAAAGTCTGAAAGCACGCAATGTCTATTGTGGAACACACCCACTTGAACAAATACAACAGCAGGAATGCGTACTCTCTCACACATCAACCCGTCGCGCAGCGGGCCAAGTTCGCAACCTTTTCACAGATGGGGATCTTGGCTTACAGTCTGCACAAAAGGCTGGCTCAATCTGAGACCTCAAGTGTGAGTACTGAATGGATCGTGAAAGTGCAACAATCAGACAGCAGGCCGGAACTGATACAGAGCCCGGGAATCTTAGGTCTGGAAAAACCGCGGCAATACGCCACAAAGTTTCAGAGAATCAATAATCTTGCCTGCCCAAAACAGGCTTGCCAATGTTGACCCCCTAAAAGACCTGGCGGATGATCGAGGGGTGTGTTCCCCCCAAAACTGTTTCGGATGCCCTCTTGATGCCTTCTGTTTCTCAACGCATCAACCGGAGGTTTGTTACTCCTGGGTTGACGTTGTGTATCACCCAGCAAATCCGCCTGCAACAAAGGCCGCAGACACCGCTGGGAGCACCACCTAGACACCACCAATCGAATCGCCATGAGAATTCGCGGCATTTCAACGGCAGTTCGTTTTCAGCACAGTGAACTTGCGGAGACTCGGCGTTGGATTTGTGGCCCACTTTGAAGGCAAAAGCGTTCAAGCCAAAACAAACGCCAGCTGAAAATAAGCTACACAGGTGTTTTCCGCCGCCCACTGAGCGACTCGGCCTCTCCACTCTGAGCATGTCCAAATTCAGAGTTGAGTTCTGGGTTCTCTTCCGGGCAGTCCGGACAACAAACATCGTTCAGCTTCTTTTGGCGCAAATGTTGGTGGCAGCGGATTTCCGTGGCGTCAGCAGTGCTGAACGTATGGAAAACACTTGCCAAGACCCCAGTCACCATTGAAAGACTTTAGGGAAGCTTTGGCATATGCGTCACTTGCAAGCAGTCGAGAGCAATGCTGAGCCATTTTTAGAAAAAAAGAGTTATAGTTGTACCATTGAACTCACTGGCAGTAAATTCTTCAGTAAAGGACATCATGTTTCCGGTGCAGGTCAATGCAGTCCTCGAGGTCAACTCATGCCACTGGATTCACCCTTAGGCCAATCGTGCCCAACCAGCAAAAGGAATAAACACTGCTGATGTTGCAGCAAGCCAGTTTCTCAAAACTAAATAAAAAATTGTGCGGGCTCCCTCTGGTTTCTGATTAAAAGCCACAGACAAGTAGCCTCGACAAAAACAAATGGAACCACATTCACACCCAATGTGTGTTGGGTGTCCTCTTCAAAAGAGCCCGCGGTCCGGCACGAAAAGGTCAACGCTCTCAAGCCCCCAGCAAGGCAGCGCCAGAGCCTGCAGGGCCGGCAGAGCCTGAGGCAAGCGTCGCAGCGTTGGTCACGTTTGGCAAAGCGAAATGAGCACCCACACCGATTCACTATGATGCGTACGATACGAAAAATAGGAGTTGCCATGGGCCATGATCCCTGAACCAGGCAGTAGTAACTCAGTAGTACAACCCCAAATGGCCTGTGGGCAGGGTAGGATGTGACTTCTAGGCAAGAGTCCCCTTGATTGAGTCTGCGTGATTCGTCGCTGCAACCCTCCAGAGTCCAGCTGCATTTCAGAAGGGGTCGAGATTTAATTTCGGATATGTTTTTTGTTTTATTCTTGGATTTTGCTTTTGTTTTCCGTCCTGGCTAGTACAATGCTGTATTTTACAGCATTTTCTCACGAAATGTACGTATTTTAGGCTAGTCCGTCAACATCATCAGCATCGTTTTCAACATCCCCCGCATGTCCAGCCAATATCCCCAGCATCACCAGCAAATCCAGGGCCTTGGCTTCCTACATCTTCAGCATCATCAGTTCCTCTCCGGCAAGGTAGGTGGGCATTGATGTATGCATGTTAAAAAGAGGGGTGGGTCCCCCTCATGATGGCAAAAGTGAGGATTCAAATACGGGTGCAATCCCACAATAGCCGCATGAACCCACAAAGACAAACAGAGAGGAAGTGTGAATGCAGAGGATGCGAAATGAAAACAACAACCCACGTAAAAGCCACAAAAGCCAAAAAGCCGAAAGCCACCAACCCTGAAAAACAAAAAACAAATCCTAAATTAACAAAAAACTCAAAAAATGGCCGTCCTTTCAGAAGTCCCTTTTGTAGCACTGAACTCTAGGGGTTGAGAGTTGACTGCTCCGCAGGACAATGCGGGAATTAAGCTTGCAGCCTTGGATATGTCTGCAAAAGCCAAACCTGGTGTCAGTATGTGGTCAACTCTGAAAGCCCTCAAAGTGACTGCCAAAGTCTGTGTGCAAGGTTCAAAGAAAGCAGGCGCCGTCAACGCAAAAAAAAACATTATCCCCTAGCCTCAAGAATAGACAGGCCAACACCTGCTGCTGTCTCTTTGAGCTTGTTTTGGGTGCGCCCCGTGTCCCACCGACCAGCGGAAAAAGCACTGGAGGCTCTGTGCTGTCCTGTCGCTCCTGCCTGCTGCCAGCCGGAGGTGCCATGGGCGGCGAGCAATGGCGAAAGGCTGCAGCTCTGAAAAACACGGAACTGGCCTTTGAAGGCGGAGCGCATACGCAATGAGGGGCTCAACAGACTGATACCTCGGCACCTCTCGAAAGCTGAAATGGGATGAAACGGCAGGACATGACTTGGACAAACTTGGGGGGTCGGCAGCTGATCGTGCATTGTTGCAGCATTTGTCGGCATCCATGGGGTTGCGCTGCAAGCCCTTTGACTGCATCCAATACTCCATCAGAACAATCAACTCTCCATCAATGATGAAGAAAAAGCCATCAATGGAAGCCTCTTCAGGCATCACACTTTCCCCTTTCCCCCCTTGGAGCTCGAGCCAAACACGGACGTCGCCACTTGGCCAACAGATTGCTCAAACGCAGTCCCACAACGTACCTGCGGTACAACAGGACTTCTTGCATTACCACCTGAACATTACCAGCAAAATGTGCTGTGTTCAACTGCCAAGTTGTATCCTTTATTAGTAGACTTCAAACGGGATGTTCCCCCAAAAGGTGAAGAACCCGCTGAGTCAGACCCCCACGACCCAAACCGGGTTTTTAGATCCTGGGCTCCCAGTCCCATCTTGGAAACATGCATGGCTGCCCAAACAGTGCGGCTGACTTTCTTGGACTGCGAAACTTGTCGCACACCTCTGTGTTCCCTTAAAGCCGTGGTCAACTGGGTATAGAAAGTGACATCCTCAAAGTTAACTTCCATCTCGTTTGGTTTAATATGGAAAAAAAGCTGGAGGACCCCTAAAAATGCATTGGGTAGCGTGGAATGCCATCCTTCCAACAACAAAAAACGCGGCAATCCGGAAAATGCCTCTCCACTTGGACCAACCGTACCTCTCCCAACCGCTACCGCGCCTGCTCTGCGGCCTCCTGCAAAGCGCTCCGCTCGAAGCGCCCGTCTGTGGAGAAGCCCTGCCTCACGACGACTTGTCCAAAACGCCGCCCGTTTTCCGCGGCCAGAACGCAGCGCGAAGGCACGGCAGAAAGGTCCAGAAAGTTCTCCCTGCACCCCCCTCTCCTCCCCAAAAAAATGAAAACCATGTTGTGTATATGTGTATATATATATATGTTTGCTATATATGATATACAGTCCTTAAATGCTTTCCAGGGGTGTAGGGCGGGGGAGTGAGGGTCAGAAGAGGGAACATTGGCCTCAAGGGTATCTCCGGTATCTCCTCATATCTGTGCGGGTACAGGAATAGTTCGCATTATATTGCAAGGAGGTCGAGTGTGGTGATCAACGTGAGAATATATGCGCTAAAGCCACAATACAGCAAGCAAAGGCCAATGTTTGAGAGCTGTAGTCTTCTACGTCAGGCTTACGCCACAATGGCCATCAAATGGCTCATGTGCGGAGTGTTGAAGCAACACAAAACAAGAAACGGGGGGTAGAGGGGTGGGGATATGTCCGTCTCTCGCTGAGGCAAACAGGCTCTCGCCCCGGCCCCTGCAACGGGGGTTCTGTTTCCGTCTTCTCCGAAGGCATGGAACAAGTTCTCAAAGCTTTCGCGAACAGAACGCTTTTTTCCTGTGTCCCGCAGTCAAGCTCTGGCCAAGTCCAAAACGGTGCGATTTTGAGGCGGCAAAGCGTGGCTTGACCTGCGTTCAACTTCAACTCTTGATGATATTGTACATACACCATAGACATACATATATATATAATACACTTACATTATTGTAGATAGATTGATATATAATAGCAATAACAATAACAATACTACTATTGATGATATTAGCCACCGGAACACCAGCTGGAACATTAGCCGGAGCCCTAACTTGCAGCTACTCCGGCCGGCTCCAGAGCCTATCTGGGCAAAGACCCCAATGGGCCCAAGGCTGTCAGCTGAAACAAAGAGCGTACTATGAGAACGAAAAGCGAGCGGGGTGCAAATTCCGGAAAGTAACAGCAAAACCTATCTCAGGGGAGGAAGCCAACAACTCTAAGGGATGAATCCTATTCCAGTCAAAAAACCTCTGCGGTTCTTGAGAAAACTATCGCTTCCCACTTCTGACTCAAATGCAAACATGTGTTTGCCATTGCTATAGAGAGCAACGACTTGACGTAGGGACAAGCTTAAACAACCAAGAGTCTTTCAGTGCTATCCATTGCTACTTCGCTTCCAGGGAGTTTGTATCCAAGGATTTGTCGTTCAAGGATGACGTTCAAGACTTGCTTGAACAAAATATGGCGTCTTCAGTGGGGGTGCAAAAAGAAAAAACAAAGTTAGTTCACTCGGATTGATCAAAAACATTGGATTTACCATCGATGTCCTAAATGTGCTGATGAGCATCACGTTATCCTCTTAAGGACTACTTCATTGCTACGAAGCAAAGGGCGGCAAATCATCGTGGGTCAACTCAGAATGCGTGTCCGATACCACGCTCGAGGATCATAGCGGACTATTCTTTCCCAGAGGAACATGGGGAAGAAGAAAAAACAAAGACCTGATTTGTGTGGGAATTTCAGTGGCCCACCCGTGTCCTGCAGAAACCAATTGCTCCCACAACATTGTCATTTGCTAGATTGATCAGACCTTTGGCCTGTTTGAAGTGAATACAGTTGCTGCAACTACCAACCCTTCAAAAGCGCCTGTAGATTCGAAGAAAATGTAAACAGACTTACTACCTGTGTGATTGTAACGATGGAGTGGGGAAGCATAGGAAAACCACTCATCAGAGTTCATGCAGATTGCAAGGGGCCAGCAGGGGCTCAACAAATCTCGTCTCACAGTAGCAAGGTTTTATAAGAGATTGAAAAAAAGACTCCATTGTTCAAACTGGTTGGCTTGGAGTCTGCGGCGTGCTGTGAACATGTCTCTTGGCCTGTTTGTCAGAAAATGGCCTACAAGCCAAACGCCCAGGAACACCTGCACATGGCAAACACAAAGAAGCAAGCAAACAAATCAATTCAAATGGAAGCAAACCAAACCAAACAAAACCGACAAACAAACAAACAAACAAACAAACAAACAAACAAACAAACAAACAAACAAACAAACAAACAAACAAACAGACACACAAACAAACAAACAAACAAACAAACAAACAAACAGACAAGCAGACAAACAGACAAACAGACAAACAAACAAACCAATTAATCACACAACAAAACAAGCAAGCAAGCAAACACACAAACAAACAAAATAGCGCAAAGCAACCAATGCACTTTTTGGCAAACGGCCAGAAAGCAAGCAAGCAGGAAGCAGACGCGAGGCTAAACAAAAACAGCAGCAGCCCTTTTGTTTGACACGGTTGCTGGGCCATATCCTCGAAAAACCACACTGCCAGGGCCGCAGCACGTTCGCATTGTACTTCAGCAGAATTTCACACACCTGCATCACGTGTGCTGTGGTTCGTTTCAGAGGTGATGCGTCTTGCAACAAGATCCTCATTCAACAGGTTTAGACATGTTCAAATGCAACATGAGGAACACCGAAGAAGATGCTTCAGTTTGACGGCACCTACCTGACATGCGGTCGGTATGTATTGTATGATGTGAGCAAAAAGCAAAAAACGCTAGGTGCCCGTGTCATCATGTCTTTGTGTGTGTGTGTGTGTGCGTGTGCGTGCCTGTGTCTGCGGGAGCTTGGCATCATCCAAAGCTGCACAACTGCTCAACTGCAACCATCTGTTGCAGGCAGATCCCTCATACTGCCCGCTTGTCTTGAACGGACTCCATTCAGGCGGCCAACCCTGCTCCTGTTGAACTCTCGAGCAAAAGAAATGGGGTCTTGCGCTGGGTGAAAACTGCGGCAAACCATTCTCGGTTTGGCTCGATTTGGCGAACTATTTCTTTCCATGCAAGCCTGGGGGCTCTGTGCTGCCAAAGGCACTTGGCGCACACACTCTAGCGTGCGCCATTGCTCAAAGATTAGATGGCATGGTTCTGGCGGACCTGGCAACCTTTGCATCCCGGCTTCGCCTTGGACGCCAATGTCTTGATCATTCAAGCTGCATTACGGCTTCAGACTGAACCGCAGCTGCAATATTCCCATCTTGATGCCCTGGGAGAACAAAACAAGCGATCTACGCATGCAAATCTATCAGCCCAATCTGTCAAAGATTGAAAACCAGCATTTTGCTGCAAATAGCAAAAGCCCAGCAAACTCTCAAGCGGGGAATCTGTCAGCACACAAAACAACCAACTGAAAACGACGGAAATCTATCGAACATGTGCCTCCACATGCCCTTCACCAGCTGCAACAGAGAGTGGCGTCCAGCCCTGGCATGCAGAACTCTGGTGCAGACTTGCCCATAACGCTCCAGCTATCTCCGCTTTTTGCTGCCGCTGATGATTTGATTTTGTTGCTGTCGTTGCTCTTCTTGTTATCAGTCTTGCTATCTATCTTTATTCTGTTTCATTGTCGTGTTTGTCGTATTTGTCTTATTTGCTATACTTGTCTTAGTGTCTTATTTGCTTTGTTTGTCTTGCTTAGTCTTTTTGTTTTGTTCGTGCGCTGCTGTTGTCGTTGTTGCTTTTGGTCAGGTTGTCAATGTTTGTCTTATTGCGAGTACAGTTGCCGCTACTATTGCGGGTATTGATACTACTGCTTGCGCTGTTGTTGCCGCTGCCGGCGGATGCAGCGGCCAGAGATGATGCCGCTACTGTCGGATGTTGCGCTGTGCGCAGGCTCGTGTTCATGAGTGTTGTTGCTGTTGTTGCTGTTGTTTCTGTTGTTGATGTTGCTGTCGTTGTCATTGTCGGTGATGGTGTTGTTGTTGTTGTTGCTGCTGCTGCTGTTGTTTGTGCTTGCTGTTGCTCTTGCTGTTGCTCTTGCTGTTGCTGTTGCTCTTGCTGTTGCTGTTGCTGGTCCTGTTGCTGTTGTTGCTGCTGCTGCTGCTGCCGCCGTGGTCGTTGCAGTCGTAGCTGTTGACGCTGCTGATGCTGCTGATGCTGCTGATGCTGCTGATGCTGCTGCTTGTGTGTCTCTTTCTCTGCTGTGGTTTGCTTGCAACAAGCCAGAACAAGCTTCGGGACTCAAACTGCACATCAAACATCCCATAATCAAGGAAAGAAAATGCTAGAGACATGGCTGCGGGTCAAGCTCCCGAATCGTTGGTTGCATGCTGGTTGTCTTTTGACACGACACCAAAGTTTCTACATGCTCTCACCTGGGTCAATCTCGGCGAGGAAGCTCTGAGCAGTTTAACTGGACTCCGACTGAGCCTTGTCACCGCCGTCATCCGCATCAGCTCCGTGCTTCAGCAAGTTCTGGCACGGTGACACACGTGATATGCCAAAGGTGATCGCCCCAAGGGAAAGCCAAGCCCAGTACTAGACCGGCAACTTGTCAAACTTATCTGTGGTCTCTGGACAAATTATTGATATTGGGTCAAGGCGCCTACACAGCACCTAGTGGCAATTGGCTGAAAAAAAAAGCTCTCTGCAACATCAGTACTGCTACGGCTACTGCAACTGCTACTGCTACTGCTGCTGCTACTGCTCCTGCTACTGCTCCTGCTCCTGCTCCTGCCGCCGCCGCCGCTGCTGCTGTTGCATTTGCTGCTTTGCTGCATTTGTCGCATTTGCTGCATTCGCTGCAGCTGCAGCACCTACACAACAGCTTCAACCAGACATAGACTACATCATAGATTATCATCAACAACATGCAGACGAGCAAAGCAACGGTCGACTGCAGCATCAGCTGTCAATCCTTGCCGGCAACCATTCTTTGTTCACGGGGTTTGGAAGTTCTGCAGCTCAAAGCGCTCTTACGGCACGCTCCTTTCCCAAAAGATAGTGGCAACAGGCGCCTGGCTTCCCTCCAGCAACGTACCCCTCTCCCAGAAATTGCTGGCAAGTAAGCCCAAGAGCTTTCCTTTATTCATATCCAGAAGCCGAATCATCCATGCTGAGCACCAGGATCTGCAAAGTTGCTGGAAACCAAGCAGACCCCAAGACAATGTGTGTTTTCGTGATGTTCGCACAGGTTGACTCAACGTTGGCAAGAGTGAGAATCCCCTCTGAAAGTGGCCTGCCAGCTTTGATCTGTCACCTACCCCCTGTGCCAACAATGGAAGTGGACATAACAGCATTATTTCAAAGTGACCGCAGTCTTTCCAAACTCTCCCAGCGTCTACAGACAGCTGTATCGTCCCCCTCTCCGCTTGGCCTTACTGCTCATGTTTGATTTGTGGAGGACTGTTAGCATTTTCAGTGCCTCAAGGCAAGATTTCCGCCTCGCAGACGCGGGTATGGCCCTCCCTGGAGGCCACCAACAATGGAGTGGAGCCATTCTTGCTCAGGGCATCCACGTTGGCCTCACAAGCAACGGTCTCATGGACGTGGAAGGAACTGAACAATGGGTCGCAAACAATATGGGCGGCGGGCAAAACGCTTCCGGGTGTTTTCCCTGGTCAAGGACCATTTAGAGAGCAGGCCGGCCAGGAACTTGGATGGTCCAGGCAGGCACAGCTGCCCAGTTTTGGCCCAATAGCTTTCGAGAAGTTCTCAACCTATTTGTGATGCCAAAAGAGAATACGCCTGATGCAACACCAGGGAGAAAATCACTTCGTCGGTTCCATCTTGCGCCTTGTCTTGGAGTCTTGCTTCGGTTCGGCAGAATCTCGGATCAACTCTTGTCAAATATGCTTCTGGATGACGCAGTGGTTTCGCCAAAATCGAACTAGCACAGCTCCCAGCTGCGATGCGAACCATCAAACTGCCACAGGCATTCTTTCAGAACATACTATGCACACAGCAAGGACCATTTGCAACACTCTGAGTCTGCTGTCTCCCAGCGGATGAACTGAATTTTCTGAGTAGGGACACAAGAGAACCCCTAACATTTACTGCATTTTACTCAGGTTTCTTTGGATGTAGCTCTTCCTTGCCTGATATTTAAGCCACCCACCGTATCTTCCCCGGCCTTCGAGCTAAGCAGAAACTCGCAGACCTGGCATCTGCAAAGGACCAAAGCTTACGTCCAAACCTCAGCGGATCGCTACCCGATTTTCTGATTCTAGGCGACGCCCAAAAACAATGTAAAGATTTGGTTGGCGCCCGGTTGGAATGGCCACGCTCTCGCTGGCTGATCTTTCAAGAGTCGTCGCATGCGAATTGTTCCGCTGTAGACCGGGCGGGATGGGAAAAGCAGCAAAATGTCCAAGCCATTGTGTAACCACCATTGTTCAATCAACCGCCTTTGGGTTCCCCGTTTTAAGGGACCCGTACCCGGGCCCAATTAATCCAAAGCCACCCCAGCCTCGCCGTCTCCAAGGTAGCAAGCTTCATGCAGCGGCGTGTACCCATACGAGCCCTGCGCGCGGATGGAACAAAAATACAGGGAGTTACTTCACCATCAATGTTACCCCTAGAAGTGATACACCCTCAGTTTCTCGATCAAACTCTTAAATCAAGTGCTGTGCTCGCGAAATCCAGGCATACGTTTTGTCCTGCGGGCGTTGTTTCCCTTTGGCCACCCGCCATCTCTTGCCTAGGGGCAAGTTTTCTGAAAGAAGCGGCGGCGCCACCCACCTGGACTCCCTAACTATACTCACAGCCCCAAAACCAGGGCTTTGGTTTAGGCTTTAGGTTCAGGGTCCAGGTTTTGGGCTTTAGATTAGGGTCTAGGTTGATTACGTGCCCCCTGCAGCCTAGCTGCTGGTGCAGGTCTTAGAAACCCTCAAGGCTAGCTTTGTCGGAAGGGCGTATTTCTCAGCCGCCGTCTCTGCTTTTCGATAAGCCAAGCTTGGCTGTATGAGCCTGAGCCTGATCATGGCTACTTCAGAGAACGTGGGGACGCAACAGGAAAGTGCTTCAGGCGGCTCGGGTTCGGGCGTCGGGGCGTTGCTTTGGGGCGCAGGCAACCCTCAGCAGCTGGCCGCAACTATAATTAAGGCGCAACAATGCTTCTCCAAACGGAGGAAATGTCCATTGCCACACTTTCCTCTGCCTACGTTTGCCCTGTTGGCGAATCTGTCTGGCCCAGGTTTAAGGAACATGGGAAAACTGCCCCCCCCCCCCCCGTTTTGTGTGGTGTGCTTGCAATGATGGGAGGCGTTTACCCTGTAAGCTTGCAATGATGAAATGATATGACAAGAGT